CAAATACCTGTACTTTCTACTTCTTACATGTTGAACACAATACCTGTACTTTCTACTTCTTACATGTTGAACACAAATACCTGTACTTTCTACTTCTTACATGTTGAACACAAATACCTGTACTTTCTACTTCTTACATGTTGAACACAAATACCTGTACTTTCTACTTCTTACATGTTGAACCCAAATACCTGTACTTTCTACTTCTCTCATTTTCCAAACAGGCTGGTTCCTTTAGTTTGAATGTGTGTTTGGTGGCGGGATCATTATTATTTAGAGTCATTGCGTGCCTATTGATTTGAACACGATCCGTGTATCCATCATTTCCTGGTCTTCTCTAAAGAAGAGGGACCAATGAAAACGTTGTCATGTTGCCGTTGTTCAGCATGGAAGCATTCATTAGCTAACAATGACATTATTGTTCTATTAATATAAAGGGAGTTCAGGTACTCTTTAAAACAGCTTCTAGTTATGGGTACTTTTTACTGAAGTACATTTCAAAGTTCTTTACTTTCACTTGAGGAAAGAAGTTTAGTCAGTACTTCTACTTTCACCAGAGTATTTTTAAACACGAGTATCTGTACTTCTACTTGAGTAAAGGATGTGTGTACTTCTACTTGAGTAAGAATGTGTGTACTTCTACTTGAGTAAGGATGTGTGTACTTCTACTTGAGTAAAGGTATGTGTGTACTTCTACTTGAGTAAAGGATGTGTGTACTTCTACTTGAGTAAAGGTTCTACCTGAAGTAAGGATGTGTGTACTTCTTCTTGAGTAAGGATGTCTGTACTTCTACTTTCACCAGAGTATTTTTAAACACGAGTATCTGTACTTCTACTTGAGTAAAGGATGGGTGTACTTTTACCATCTATGGTCAGCGTCTTTATGTTCATGCTGTCAGAGAAAACAGGAAGTTCTTCTGCGAGAAACACTCCGACAGCAATTACCCGTGGATTTGTCCAAATAATCTGTCTTTGTTTCCTCAGGTAACACGGAGAGCTCGGAGGTGAGCGGGTTCATTTTCCCCCCAAAACAAGATGCAGGTCAAACCCAAACCAGATGCCATACCGTAGATCACTCATTCATAAAGAGGGCCTAACTATGAGGGACAATGGGTTTCAAAGCAGCTCAAATCCCCTCTTCCTCCATCAGGCACAAAGAGAGGGGAGTTCAACTCTGATGGCATAGTTTGAATTCTGCAGGTTGTTCAGAAAGGCTCTCGACATCCACCGTAAGAGAACTGGAGAAAATGAGGGATAGCATGTGTTGCTGCATCTAAACTGAGAAATATGTTATATTTTGTTACTGCACATTTGTAATTCAACATGTATATTTTCAATGCTATTTTTCTCTATTGAGACATTTTGGCATGTTTATTTCTAGTCTTTTCATTTGTATTGTACAATGCCTTCTCTTTTTATGCTGCTGCAACACAAACAAAGTCCCAAATTGGGCTCACTAAAGTACTTCTTATCTTATGTTATGTTTCTTGCCTCTTTGCTGCAGACCTTTCTGAGTGCAGACTGCTTCTTTCAGAGGGGGAACATCATTATTGCAATGGCTTCGATTAAAGGTTTGTCCAAATATTTCAGTAATCCGAGGGAACCGCCTGGTCTGCTGCCATGAGGACTGACAGGGGGCTTTTTGGGACTGAGGAGGGCCTGTTTTTGGGTCCCGCTGAGCAGCACTTTGCACACTTTGCTGACTGAAGGAAGGCTCTGTCCCTGACTCTCTTTTGGCTGTGGTTTCTCACTGGGAACCGCTCAGACCTCGGTGTTTTCAGACTCTT